TCATATCCTGTACAGCTTCTGCCCGTGGCCCACTCATTCCAGCTTCCAGTTTTGAAGAGACGCTGTGAAATCCTCTGCTCAGAGAGAATAAACCTCAACAATGCTGTGAGCATCTACCAGACTTCCAAAGTATGTGCATACAGCTTACATGAACGTATTCATAGTTCCAGCATCAAGCTTCAGTCCTCTGATGTCATCTGTTTGGTTGTGTGTTATGGAGCAGGTGAGTGAGGCAGTGGAGCTGGCAGTATTCTGTGAAGGCTTCTTCCTGCAGAAGATGGTTGATCTTCTGGACTGTGAGCAGTTTGAGGAGCTGCTGCTGGATCCCAATGCTCTGGATGGGCTTCAGGCTACACTGGCCTCACGGTTGCAGTCACTTTGTGGCCCACGTCGAGCTTGAGTGCATGAGGAAAACCATTGGAAATTACAGATGTGTCTTTAATGCTGTTGGGAAACTTGGTTAACAAAGCTCAGGTGTGCAGGCAGGCATGTGAAGCCCCACAGTGTTTAGAGGTTTGTTAACCTTCGTAATTCCTATTTTGTGTCAGTGGCAATGTTTTAATGGGATGTGTGAGCTATTTATTAGTTTTCAAGTCACATAATGTATAAAATTGTTTCCTAAATTGTGCTTTGGTCACAGATAATGAACTTATATGTGGATTTACGAGGTGTTTGATCATATCCCAGTATAGATAGGCTTTACAGTCTCTATTTTACAAGCTACTTACATGTGCTTCAGAGAGGAAGCGTTGTAAACGGCAATATTAGCGCCCTCCAGTGGCCAAAAGTGTCCTACGCATTCATACAAACATTTCCCAAAAAATGTACATAGTAGTATTGTAGATACTTTTGTATTCTCACATAATTTTAAAGTGTAAATATATGTCTAATATGCAGTAAGGCAATGGTACGCGGATATGTTGGGATCAAAAATAATTTATTTTAAATATAACATTTTTCATGCAACAATTGAATGGCACATGTAATTTTGAAATTACTACCGGTAATAAACATGAAAAAATAATTTGTATTCTTTTGTGATCCTTGCCATTTGAATTTAAATTGTAACATTTAGATATTGTTAGCAGGTACAGTAGCAACTATTCTATTTAAAATTGTGTTTTGACTTAGATTTTAGAATTGAATAACCAAAGACAGAATCCCAGTAAAAGAGTGTGACGAAAGGGGCGGGGGCTGGGCCGGGGCCGAGAGCCATGGGAACGGAGCGAGGCCGGTGGAGTAAATGCTAATGCGCGACACCTGCGCCACTCACCGGTCTCGAGTCCCACGGAGGAGCTCCGGAAGGATAAAAGGAGGAGTGACGACAGTGTTGGACGAGAGAGGACCAGGCCTGGATTTTATTTTGTGTTTTGGTTCTGTTTGTGCGCGACAGTTGTCCGCGAGGGGCTGTCGCGCTGTTTTGTGTTTTTTATTATTAAAGTGTTTAAATGTTCCCGCCTCCTTCTTCCCGATCTACAAACGTTGTTACAAAGAGATTCACCTGAAAGGTAAATATATTTTGTGGCTCATATATAGGCATATACAGTCGTGGTCAGAATTATTGGCACCCTTGGTAAATATGATCAAAGAAGGCTGTGAAAATAAATCTGCATTGTAAATCATTTTGATCTTTTATTTTAAAAATTCACAAATCTAACCTCTCATTGGAGAATAAGAATTTAAAATGGGTGGAAATATCATTATGACATGTTTTTCTCTAATACACATTGGACACACTTAACGGCACCCTTTTATTCAATGCTTTTTGAAACCTCCATTTGGCATAATAACAGCTCTGAGTTTTCTCCTATAATGCCTGATGAGGTTAGAGAGCTCCTGACAAGAGATCAGAGACAATTCCTTTATCCAGACCCTTCAGATTCCCAGCTCCATGTTGGTGCTTCTTCTCAGTTCACCCCACTCATTTTCTATAGGGTTCAGCTCCGGGAACTGGAATGGCCATAGCAGAAGCTTGGTTTTGTGCCCAGTGACCCATTTTTGTGCTGATTTTAATGTTTGGTTTTGGATTATTGTCTGGTTGGAAGATTGGGCACAGCACAGGGAGTGCTGACTGACAGCGCTTGCAAGTCACCTACTCGAATTACCGATGCCAAAAGCAGAGCAGTTTTGTGCAACATGGGCCGCAGGCCAGCCGTTTGAAGTGGCTTAAACGGAGGGCCCTTGAGGGCCCTCAGGACTACAATATAGACATGCCAAATGTCTGCACAGGTCTAGGGCGTGGTGGGTTCAGTCTCCGAGCTCCACTTTGAAACTTAACGACCAGGTCATTTCTACCGATTGAGCTGCCAGCCACGAGAGAATGATTCGCCGCGATGGCTGCCACATAAACCTTGAGTGTGGAAGGGGTATGGCCCTTGTCCTACAACTCCTGAAGGAAGGTTAGCACGTGGGATATGTCACAAGAATATGGATCCAGACTTCGTGCTGAACAGCAGTCACTGAAGACTCGCCATTTAAGGGTGTAAAGACGTCTTGTAGACAGAGCTCTAGCCTCTAGAATGGTATTAGTGACTGTTGCTGGGAGCTGGCTAGACTCTCGTTGAGGGGCCAAACATGAAGACTCCACAGCTGCGGCTTCGATTACGATAGAGGGTCTCTCCTGTGGTATTGGCCACGGGGCTGCAGACAGCAGCTGAATACGATCTGGGAACCTAGTTTGTTTTTTCCAGAGTGGGGCCACTAGGAGGAGTGAGCATTAATTAATTTATATAGAAGTTTCATAGGAATGAACTGAAAACGCTCGCTCTGTTCTGCGCCAGTGGACACGCACTATTGCCCACCATTTCATTCCTGTCTGTAATACAGCTCACCTTCACCGAATATGTTGATGACACCAAGGGTTGATGTTTCTTGCACAGGTCTGTTTTTAACATGCCTTGACTGTTGCACAGTCTGACATTAATGACCGCTGAGATCCTACAGTGTGACATGAGGATCATGTTCTTGCAGTCTGACAAGCAACAATCATTAAGGGACTATTATAAATTGCAGTGTTCGCCCATCTTTAGTATGTCCATCCCAATGTTACTAGAGATTACGGCAGTTTGGATCCTGCCTCACTTGTGAAGACTTCAGATGATGCCAATAATTTCAGACTTCAGATGACAGCAACTATAGAAATACATACAAAACTGCCAGATATTATGTATTGTAATCATTGCCTTAAAGCGTAAGTTTGGTTATTTTCAACCCGCTTTTTATCGCTAGATTCGCTACTATGATGATAATATATGTGAACAATGTTTAGGCCTACTCTTTCTCTGAGTTACTTATACTGAGATATGCCCATTTATTTGTCAGCAAAATTCTGCCAGCTGACGCAAAACTGCAAATTTACCCTTTAATGTTTTTTTTCTGTTTAACTAAACTTTTTTTTTTTTTTTAATCTTACCGCTATTTATGGACATTACTTTGTTGCCAGAAGATGCACCCCAGTGAGTCACAGTCACCTCTGCATGTTTAAAGGATATTTTGTGATTGTAACCTTGAAACATGCATTTTCTGTAAACCTGCTTTGAAATTATATGTATTGTGAAAAGCGCTGTACCCTTACAACAGTTAACCATGGTTTTACTATGGTAAAACTCTAGTAATCATGACCGTAGTAATCATGTTTTTTTCCAAACCACGGTTTTGTTATCATGGTTCTATTACAGTAATATTATATAAATGCTGGAGTAAAACTGTGGTAACCACTGTTTTTGAAACCATTTTGTAGTTACTATGGTTTACTGCTATGATGTAGTAAGACCAGGGTTATATATTTACTGTGGATTACTGCAACAATCATAGTTCAACCATGGTTATTGTAGTAAAGCGCAAACGTTTTGCGAGAGAACACAAAATATTTGAAAAAAAAAATAAAAAATCCTCCCACCACCGTATATATTTTTTTTTCCACCACCATGTACTTTATGGGCTCCGTAGAAATGTACGTCTCGCATGTGGAATTATTAAATAATAACCCCAACCCCATCTTACCACAAGGGTCTAATTTTATCTTTTCACTTGAAAATAAATATTTTATTACTCTACAAATCTAAAACCATTAATGTGTCCATAAATCTCTCAGACACAAACTTGATATTCAACATAAAATCACTAATTTTCCAGAGAAAATTACTATCACTATTTTCCAGAGATCACTTATCCTCAAAACTGTTGTGACTGACAATCTTACAAAAGTTCATATTCAGATGAAAAACGAAATACATCAAATAAAATGAGCCATTCATCACGTGTTAAGATTCTGTGCCATTTATGGTAAAGAAATAAAAAAAATAAGCTACAGGGGGTCATCTTGCCCCATCTCATCCTATGTTACAGAGAAAACAGCAAACACGCATCCAAAATCCCAAAGTCAATGGATTTATTTCCGTTGTACTGAAGTTGTTCACAGTATAGTTACAAGGGGATACATTAGCGGCAATTCTATTTTTCCCGCTCGGTATTAATCAAATCCGTGATGCATTACAATCCAGCTTTGCTCCTTTTTTCTCCCGAAGTACAAAATAGGAAGGACAACAATGTGTATTGCTTAGATTACATCTCCGCTTATTCTCCACGCTGTATGTTCCCATAAGTGATCACGTGTTATGAAATCCCAGACCATGATGCAGCAGAGCATGTGGCCAGATAGCGTTCAGCGTTAAGGGAGATGAGAGAAAAACGACCAACTGAAAATGAAGGCATGATAACGGGGGAAACAAGTCGATGATGGAAAAAGGGTGAAGGGGAGGAGAAATTTAACATCCACAACATCATGCAAATTAAAGCTGAATGTCGGACATGCAATACGAGAGATAGAGTCAGGAGCAGCAGGATCCCCTTGATGGTTTTAAGAAAGTCGTTTGTCCAAAGTTATCTATTTACAACATGTGATTTGAGCTCATCCACCTGTTTTACACGCACAATGAGATGAGTGACAAGTATCAATACTTCATTATCCTATAGTCTACATTCTTAAATTAGCAGTAAATAATTTAACATATACTACAAGCTCTTTAATCTGTTCAAAGCCAGGAAAGAAAGAGTGCTTCATTCACAAAATCGGATGTGTTATCATACACAAAACACAAATCCTTCAAACAATCTGACAAGTCGCCCTGATGCAAACAATAAAATCTCCACCACCCGGTTTTGTATATATAAATATTCCCCAGCTGAATAAATTAAAACAAGACAAAAACACATAAATAAGTTACAAAAAAGGGTAAAAGGTCTCTGAATCCTGCAGATGTTTCTCAATATAAAGTAAACACAAAATAAATACAAATTGAAAATTGACATCACGAGCAATCCTCGAATACATTAAGCATAATCATCATTCAAAACTAACATTTCATGAATGCTACATGAGAAAAAAAAAAAACATGATGTGGCAACACAATTCATCTAAGCATTGTCACTGATAGACATTTGTTACATAAGGACTATTTTCAGTCTGTACAACAGAATAGATAATTTACTGTGACGCCCCCCTCCCACCCCTGTATCCCAGTCCACAGCCCACCCCAAAGTTCATCCCCACCATTTTTCAAATAGGATCTCCAAATCTTGTACAGCAATGATACCGAGTCCATAACATTTTTTAAATTCTTCATTTCACAAAGAAAGACTATATTGAAAAGAATACAATCCAACCACGGTCCTCGAGGGCAACTCCTCAAACACGTGCGTTATGATATCCAGAGCTCCATTCGCCATTTGTAACGATGTCCGGTATGTACGTCTGTGTGTTTGTGTGTGCATCAGCAGAGAGGGGAGGAAAGAAGACAAGCAAGGATAAAAAAAAAAAAAAAAAAGTATGTTTAAATAAAAAGATGAATTGTGGGTTAGCTTAGTGATAATTCATAAACATCTTTATTTTAAGGCTTCACTCCAAATCCTCGGACATGTGTGGCTGTATGTACAGTAGCTGCAGGAGGAAGGAATCTTGTTGGTGTTTGGGGTGTTTAGATGCATCAGAATGAGTTTCCCTCAGCTGCTTGTACTGAACTTCCTGTGTAATGTGCCCTCCATCAATGTGCCATACATGAATCTTGTGCAAGAGCAGGACTTGGGGCTTTAACACGTTTTCTGGATAATTCCTGGTAGCAGAAATAAATAAAGGCATCATAAAACAGAACATAACGAGACACCGTGAAGAACAAACAACACTGGAGAGAAACAAAATAGGCATGTGTCTCTGTATGCGCCTTTTGTGAAGTGTCGGGTGTACTTCAGTATTCAATCCATAATGTAAAACTTTGTAGAGGCTTGGTTAAAACCAACTTGAGTCAAAAACATCCTTTCAATATCCTTTCACCATGACTGGATTCTTTTATTTTATTTTAAAACTAGTAATCTAGTATTTCTCCTGGTTTTAAGGTTGTTCCTGTGTCCCAACTGATGGTGCCATCTTGGCTTTGTCTTGGCCAGATGAACATTTGGAGTCATTAGGCTCAGGCTCATGTCTCTTGCTGTTGGCATGAATGGGCGTGCAGGGCGGATGGGACACCTGCCCGTTCTTCTCGTCTGAAAAGAGCTGTTTAATTACGTCAAAGAAGTTACTCAATGGGCTGCCTGGGTGCACAGACGGGAGAAGAGGAGAAGAACAAGAAAACAAGAGAGAGAGAGAGAGACAGAGAACAAATACATGAACAATGAGGATCACAGACGAGGCAAGGTGAGATGATGAGAGGCAGGATGAGACTGCATTAACTGGAGACAATAAGCCATATATTGGAACACACTGACACGGATACAGCACGCATCTGCAGGCATGTTCAATTGTTTGACAGTACAGCTGTATAATTGTTCAAAGGTTTTATTGTGGTAGTGAGTATCTGTGGCTGAACAGTCTCCATCTGAGCTGTGATCATCACTGGATGGAATGGAAAGAGATGTGACAGGGTTGATTCATTACAAAGAAAATCAAGGTAGATGGTCAAAGACTTGTTCTTAATTAGACATCATACCTCAAATTCAGGATATATATCCCAAATTGTGTGCATATACATGAATGAAAGATTTAGCAAATACTGTAAGCTATATATACATTACGGGTGTAAAAATGCATTGGTACACCTGACAATGAAAACTGTCTGATTGATTCACTTAAAAAATCTGGTTCTTAAGAAACAATTGTATGCGAATTGGACTACTCCGGTCATGCTGTGTTTTTTATTCAGTTAAAAGAACCGAACCGGCACATGAGAATTTTATAGAATTATAGAATCAGCCTATACTGGTCGTGTATTATACTTGTATTTTTTGTCTTTTTTTATGAACAAACTCTTTTTTTCCCCATGTTTTTGGACTACGTTGCTCATGCTGTATGTTTTTATTCACTTGAAAGAACTGGTTCAGAGGAAACATTTGTTAGCGAATCGGACTTCTCTGGTCCTGCTCTATTATTTTGATTCACTTACAAGAATCAGATTATAAACTTAATTCATTTGTGAATCGGACTATACTGTTTGGATTGTATTTTTTTTTGAACAACTTAAAAGAACCAGTTCACAAGAATCATTTGTTCACAAATTGGACTATACTGGTCGTGCTGTATGTTTTTGACTCACTCAAAAGAATCTGTTCATGAGAATCATTAGTTTGTAAATCTAACAACACTAGTCACGATATATGTTTTTTACTCACTTAAAAGAACTAGTTCATAATAGTCATTTGTTCAGGAATCAGACTACACTGTTGCACTGTGTTTTTAAATCACTTAAAGGGATAGTTCACCCAAAAAATGAAAATTCTGACATTAATTACTCTCCCTCATGTCGTTCCAAACCTGTAAGACCTTCATTCATCTTCGGAACACAAATTAAGATATTTTTTGATGAAATCTGAGAGCTTTCTGACCCTCCATAGACATCAAGGGAACTACCACATTCAAGGCCCAGAAAGGTACCAAGAACATCGACAAAATAGTGCATGTGACATCAGTGGTTCAAACGTAATTTTATGAAGCTATGATAATACTTTTTGTGCGCAAAAAAACCCCCAAAAATAACAACTTTATTCAACAATTATTCTCTCCCGAGTTACCATCTACCGCCATTATCGAGAGTAACACAACGCACACGTGCATGCGTCGTGTTACTCTCAATAATGGCGGTAGATGGTAACTCGGGGGAGAATAAATGTTAAATAAAGTCGTTATTTTTGTTTTCTTTGCGCACCAAAAGTGTTCTCGTAGCTTTGTAAAATTACAGTTGAACCACTGATGTCTAGTGATGGGAGAAACAAACCTTTTCGAAGCTTCGAATCAATTGAACCAACTGCTTCGCAAAATGATTCACTGTTTCGAAGCGCTCGAAACACCACACGCTGGTGCTGCTGCTGGTCAAAACTGTAAATGCAACAAAATCTCAGGCCAAAACATGCATAAAAAATGCATTTTACAAAAACATACTGAAAGTATAATGCATTAAATACAATTACAATAATATACCATTAAATATGTGTGTATAATATGTTTTTAAATTATTATTATTATTTTGCTGGGCTTGTTTTGTCTGTTTTATGGAGAGCTTGTTAACTTGTTAACTACTACTCATCCTTTTAATTACACAAATGTTTCATTAAAATGTCTACAAATTGATAAAACTGATCCGAGATCAGGTAGAAGTCAAAGACGCTGATTCAATGGTTCGCCGCTGGGAGGCGATCTCAATGAACTCGCATGATTCATGGGTTCACACAGATCGCCCCCCAAAGGCAAACCATTGAAATTTCAAAACGTTTCGAAACAGTTATGACGTAACGAAGCCTCATTTAGCTGTGGTAGTTCCCTTGCTGTCTATGGAGGGTCAGAAAGCTCTTGGATTTCATCAAAAAAAAATCTTAATTTGTGTTCCGAAGAAGAACGAAGATCTTACGGGTTTGGAACGACATGAGGGTGACTAATTAATGACAGAATTTTCATTTTTGGGTGAATTATCCCTTTTAAAGAACAGGTTCATAAGAATCATTTATTTATAAATCAGATGACACTGGTCACGCTGTATGTTTCTGATTCACTTTAAAGAACTGGTTCATGAAAATCATTCGTTCATCAGATCAAACTACAAGCTGTATGTTTTTGACTCACTTAAAAGAACAGGTTTATAATAGCCATTTGTTCAGAAATCATTTTGCGCCATATGTTAGACCCTATTAATGCTGCTAAAAAAAATGGAAATTAATGCAATCATGAACAAATTTCATGATGTATTGCATGATTTAGTAATGAATCATAATTATATACAATCAGCGTCAGTGCATATATTTACACCATATATATATATATATATATATATATATATATACAGCTAAATATATTCATGCTAAATTCATCATTTCTGATTCAAATCAAAGGCCAAAAATGAAATCTCATAAATGGATTGAAATTTAGTGGTACAAATTGTTGCAGATTCTGAATACACCTGACAGCCGGCCCAGAAGGATTAACTACACACCATATTTGACACCAACACAGGCTTGCAAACCATCACCTCTTTTTCCAATTTCATAAGTGACTGAGCAGCAGTGGCCTAATAGCACAAGCTGTAACATGGCAGGCCGTGGCCTATGTGAACACTAGAGTAGATTGCCTTAGTTCCAGAGCTTGTCTCTGAGTCTCTCAATACAATCTGGACTCCTCTCAACATCATGATAGAAAGCTCGAAACTGCTGCTTCCCAAGAAAACAGGCAGCTTTGCCACAACCTAAGAGACTCTCAAAGAGACATGACAGCTGTGGCAGCTTTGAGACACACAGGACACTGCTTCAGCATTTCTACTGTGAGCCATTACAAATGTTCATCTCCGTTTAGATTTATGCTGGGTAAACTATTGCAGACACAGAAAAATGTACAACTAATACCAGTACAGCATGGCTATTTTTCTCTTATGAGACGTGTGCTGAGCTCCAGTGAAATAGCTCTGGGCTAAAGACAATGGATTTATGTCTCACACACATGATAAAATTACATTTGTAGCTACAATATTTTTGAATTTAACCCCACTAGGTTAAGTCAATCTGAACTGACATAATATTAAGATCCACAGCTATGGAATCTTGTATAGTTAGAGCTATACAATAAGGCTTTATTGTATTTTTGCTAAGATCTTGTGTATGTTAGTGAGATTACATGACTAATAATTATTAATAATTACTGTTTTTCTTCTAAATCATTATTAATCTAAGAGCAAACACATACAAGACTGCTGCTTGTTTTAATACTCATATTGTATTTATAGGGCCCTACATAAGTAGGTCACGCTGAGAAAACTAGTCCCGTTAGGATTCTGCCCCTCATTATACAGTGATTCTACAGATGATTACTTCGATTGTAAAAGTCCCAAATGATCAACATGACAGAAATGTTCAGAGAAAAGAGGTGCTGAGATACATGCCGACATAAAAGCTCAGACATCACCTTTAAATTAAAAACCTGGTTGAACAGATTCATAAGCGCTGCAGATTAAATGTTTAAATAAATGAGGCCTTTCACAAAAGTGATTCAGATGCAACAATCGACCCACAAAAACAAAGTAAAATGATGCAAGAATTGAATACGGAGAGAAAAACAACATGAAGAATGTATGAAGTGTTTTCACTCTAGAGAATTTAAACTTTCATGGATTGTCCTATCAAGTGAGATCATGCACACACACATCTCTGCATATTTCACATTTAAAGGGATATTTCATCCAAAAATGACATTTCTGTCATCAATAACTCACCCTCATGTCGTTTCAAACCCATAAGATTTTTCATTCGTCTTCAAAATACAAATGAAGATATTTTTATGAAAACCTGCTTCTCCACTGAAAGTTTGTGCAAACAAACCTCTGATGCATCAAAGGTACAAAAAGAGATTGTCAAAATAATCCATATGAATTGAGTGGTTTAATACAACTCTTCTGAAGAGACACAAAAGCCTGAATTAAATCTGTTCATTTTGTCTCCTCTTCTGTTTTTCAATGCATTAAAGTTTTGGTTGCATAGACCAAAAAGAGAGGGAGAGAAAACTTTCAGGTGTTACTAAAAATATCTTGATTTGTGTTTCAAAGATAAACAGGTTTGGAATGACACAAGGGTGAGTAAATGATGACAGAAATTTCATTTTTGTCTGAACTATCCCTTTAAAGGGTCTCTGTGGTTAAGTGCCACGCATTGGACAGCGTGTGTATGATAAAGTGATGTACACTGTGGCGGAAGAGTTAAAATAGACCTCTTACCACCCTTTGAACGCTTTCCTGTCAAAGGAACATGACATATTACTGTAACATGTCCAATCAAATCAAATATTCAGCCTAAAATGACATTCTCAATGCACCTCATTGATTTTACAGTAATGACATGAACTCAGTGATTCAACCTCCTTGCACAGATGTTTATTACGTGGCCACATCTGTTGAGAGAGTGAAGCATGCTGGTGCTCATTGCTGTGCAGGTCTGCTCACGGTCAGTAAGGACACTCAAGCTCTCATGCCCATTCACTCAACAGACGCCATGACCAACAGCCATGGGAGAGCAGGGGGTGAAGGGCAAAGCCGGGGGAAAGGAAGGGAAGGGAAGGGCGTGATTGACAGGGTGAGAAAATGGCACATCTTTAAAGCTACACTGGTGGTGGGTCACGATCCTGATAACAGCTCTTTTCTTTAAGACAGTCCAAATGCACAATATCAATAATTACATATTCTGTTTTATGAATATTTTTAGAAAGGGGCATTGGGAGAGAGGGGTTTGAAATGTCATACTATCATACTAAAAGGCTAATATTTTTTTTAAGTATGCAGAATGTAGGTTATACTGTGTACAATAATTTTCTGTATGAAACATGGAATACATGGATGACCTGTTTGTCAAAATATAAATGCAGTATACAACCAGAGCACACTGTATGAGGTATTGCACTGTACCTCATTAAAAAAAAGTCCAAATTGACCTTCCGTATCAAAAGTAATGAATGAATACTAGCACATTACCAGTACACTGTATACTGCCTACTATTTTTAAAGACATATTTGAAACCAAGCATTAAAGCTGGAATACAGTATATGACTTTTGCCTATATTTTTGCCGATTTTTAGTTTGGACAAATCAACGCTAGTTGCTCAAAGTTAGATCCAGTCTGCAGATTTGAGCTGACAGATTTCACAGAAAACCAGAAAATAGTGTATTATGGGCACAGACTCAGATTTTTTTAGCTTCCGTCAATGATTCAGTTGAAGGACATCTGGCATATATAATTTGACTCCATTTTAAAACACATGCAACAAGGCGCATGTTTCTGCATGAGTTTGTTGTTTTCCAAACTACTAAAGATACTAAAGGTTGTGTAGTGTATTCCAGCCTTTATGCAGCTCTAAACATTACAGGCAGTGATTAAATTGTTATTTTGCATTTCTGAACTAAATCTGTATTTTTTTTTTTGCCAGTTTAATCAAATAAATCAAATATATACATTAGATAGATTCCCTTTGTGTATTCCAATACACTGGAAATGGAAGTGGAACACATTGCATTGTTGGATATAGTGCAGTGTGCATTGGCATATTAAGTCAGTCATCCAGGTATTTTATGCAAATGGAAAATGTGCTAATTGTGCACAGTAGACATAATGCAGAATGATATTACGGTATTATGACATGCCAACCTCCCTTTTCTGTATTACTCAGAGATATTGCTATTGGACAGTAAGAATTTGGGGCTGTCCAGCAGAGGGTGCTGTAACAGGCTCTTCACCATGCGCACAAAAAAAGACATGTGAGAAGGATGTTTTTTTTTTTCACTTCATCTCTCCAGCTGGAACCACAGTCTAGCCCATCACATTTCTGCTCTAGAATGAACAGTCTGAAGCCAGATAACTTACTTGGGACACAGGTTCGGTTTAAGTATCTGCAAGAAACTTCCTGGATATGTATATAAACCCTTGTTAATACACGCGAGTGTGCTCTAACATGCTCTGTGAGTGTGAGTGACTGCTAAGGAGAGTGTGTGCATGTGTGCCAGTGCCTTGCAATGCAATTCTGCGCAATGTGCTTTGATAAGGTCAAACGTGTATTTCCAGAATCTTTAGATCAAACATCACATCTGACATTAATGGAACGGTGGATACATTGTATTTAACCCTGTGAGAAGTTTATTTTCATATTAACAATCTGACGGCCTGAAAATGTCTTTGAAACCACCTCTAACAACCATTTTAAACACTGGAAAGACTCATTTGACCTTGATGGGTGTGTGCAGCGTTCAGTGCTCTGCAAGGGTGGGCTAGGCGCCATGCATGTTCAGGATGCTGTGTAAGAGAGCAGAAAGAGAGAGAGAGAGAGCCAGAGAAAGAGGTGTGTCAGAGGAGTGACTGGCCACTCACCAGACAGCTGCTGGACACCAGGCTGGTCATGTGTACTTAACAACTGAGCCTGAATCGTCTCCACCACCCGTTTGAAGCGTCGGCTGGGACCTGCCAGGGACACACACACACACAGAAACCCATTTGAATGTTTCGCAATAATCCTGTACAAACTGGTACATGCCTTTTGAAACGAATGTACATTTATGCTGCCACATCCTGGGTTTATTCCCCCTAGCAGCAGCTTCATAAAATCTAATGGAATGAGGCCGATTTTTATGCTGCATTCGGCCCACGGCTGAGTTTATGACACGTGCACACACACACACACACACACACACACGCACTTTGAAATGTGTGACTTTAAGAACAAGATCAAATCCCCTTTGTGTAGCCAAGAGAGCAAAATATAAAAATAAAAAGCGAGGGACAGGGTTTGCAGTAATGGCACTAGCAGCGCAGGATCTTTTCGGATTGTCCTTTGAAACACAGCAGGTTGAAAATGCATAGTGATTACCAGGAGGCAAAAAGGCCTCTTTTAGCTAATTTTTTTCCATTACCCCCTAGAGCAGTTTGTCTATTTTCAGCATCTTTTTAAGAGAGGGTGAGTGTAATGGAGGAGAGGATTGCTAGCGGAATGAGAGAAAGGGAGAGAAAAAAATGCTCTCACCACTGCAAGGGACAAAGTTCAACATCATCAACCAGCCTCTCCGTCACCCACACATACCCCTCTGCATTTCTATTGGCTGTCAGCAAGTTTATGACATCAAAATGGGCTTCTCACTGTCGGCATGGTTACCTGAGAGCAGTGTGAAAGTGACAGAGTAGATGCCGTTCTCCTTGGTGGCAGCCGTGCTTTCGGAATATGTGATGTCCACCTGGAACTTCACTGGCTTTTGGAACACAGTGGGGCCAGCTGTGGATTTGTATTCTGCCCGGAAACTCGTCTGAGACACCACACTGTGGCTGAGGCTGGGAATCTGAGACAAAAAGACAGAGGCTGGTTTTGTGGTCCAGGGTCACACACACACACACACACACACACACACACACACACACACACACACACACACACACATATATGTATAATTCTAAACAATTTGTTTTCAAAATTTGAGGTTGATAGCTCAAAAACTGAGCTTTAGTTTCCAATGCGGTCATTTTTTATTGATTGCGAAGGGTACAAGGGACCATTTCACTTTTTCAAATCATGTTCATGATTTATTTTTATTTTTTTTATTTATTTATTTAGTTCACATAGCAAGTGCCAAAACATTTACCAAGTGTTGTGCCATTCTGATGAATTAAAAAAAAATAAATAAATAAATAAATAAATACATTTTCAGTCAAAAATGACCAAAGAGCACCAGAGGGGTATTATTCATGCCTTTAGAAACTAATGACTTACTTTCTTCAAAAGGTAAATTTTCAAGTATATCCTGAGCCTTCTTTTCAATATAATGACAATGAAGGAGACCTTAGCCTGTCAAGTTCCAAAATGACAAAAAAAGCTCCTTAAAAGTGGTCTATATGACTTGTGTGCTACATTTTTAAGTTTTCTTTAGTCATATGATTCGTGTGAGTAACAGACTAAAACTTGCTATTCACTGAAAATCTTGACATCCATTTTAGCTCTCTTTCATGTATTCATGAGTTAAGCAATATCAGATTGGCCAGTTAATCTATTTTGAATCAGATCTTTTCAGTCAGTTGATACAGTTCAAAAAACTGGTCTGAATGATTTGTTCAACTCAGCTGAGCTGACAGACTTAGTAAAGCTTAACAGCACACTAGAGCGGAAGATTATCAGTGAATAACTTCAATACTGGTCTGTTGTCACACAGAGTAATTGCTTAGCTTTAGAAGACTTGGAATATAGCACACAAGTCTGATACTTCTGATATTTCTATGGTGCTTTTGCATCATTTTTGAAACTTAAAAAGCCTCAAGAATGTAAGAAAGTTGAACAGGTTTGGAATAGCATGAGGGTGAGTAAATGTTGAAAGAATTCACATATTCATTGGAGACTTACAGAGAGAAAGGCGTGTACAATATCTGCTTTGATGGAGCTCAGAGGCTTGTCCCGAATCACCACAAAGATCTGCTCCTCCTTTTCGAGGTTAATAAAATTTCCAAACCAAGATTTTTTGGCAAGTCTGTGAAGAAGAAAAGCATGAGTAAACAAGACAACACAATACATTCAAACATCACTCAAGTCACATACTATGCATAAAACAAGTATACGTCTCAACAACACTGCATGCTGTCACATACAAAACATACTGTAATGGAGAACTGACATTTCTTCAGTGTGATTAACATTTGTATAATTCTCAAGAACACATTATCTGCTCTTCATATATGCCATATCATCATATACTACACAGTTGAAATGTTTGGTGTCTGTAAGGTTTTTTTTATGTCTTTGAAAGAAGTGTCTTATGCTCACCAAGGCTACGCTTATTTGATCAAAAATATAGTAAACACAGTAATATTATGAAATATTATTACAAAAATAACTGTTTTCTAATTGAATATATTTGACAATGTAATTTATTCCTGTGATGGCAAAGCTGAATTTTCAGCAGACATTACTCAGTGTCACATGATGCTTCAGAAAACATTCTAATATGCTGATTTGCTACTCAAGAAACATTTCTAATTATTATCAATGGTGAAAATGGTTGTGCCGCTTAATATTTTTATGGAAACCATGAGTTTTCGGAATTTTGAATGAAAGGACAGTTCAAAATATCAGAAATTATTTGAAATAGAAATATTTTGTAACCTTATAAATGTATATACTGTCACTTTTTATCAATGTAATGCGCCCTTGCTGGATAAAAGTAAAAAGTCAAAGCTTCACCAGTATAGAAGAACAGTTGGCAGATGAATTTCATACCATCAAAATACAAGTTTCATTTCAAAAGTGTTGGTTCACAAAAATCATAATGGTGGAAGCCCCCCTGACAGTTTCTGGCTAAAGTAAATAAAGCATTTTTGTTTAAGGAATATTCCAGACATTTCTAGAGAGCTTGGCTGAATTTTCTCTTGCAGTGAAATGCAGAACACTGAATGTTGCCGAGATGGGAGTTAATAAGCTGTCAGTCAGTCGGTATGTCTCTAGGAATCAGCAAGAAATGAAAACATGTATGACTTGAAATTAAATGAAAAAAGTGACATTACATGGGCTGTCAAACAGTTCAAAACTTATATGATATATGACCAAATTCTGTGCAGCACCATTCAAACCTCAAAAACAATTATTTCAATAAAATCAATTTTATTATTCTTTTCATTTTTTTTTTCTTTTAATTTACACATTGCATTTAAAATTTGGGAGTTAACAGAGATATTGGTAAACTAGATTAACATGACGGGTTTGTCATGATACACCGTTTGCTGACAACTGAGAAGTACTGAAAAGTTCAAAAGTTTCTAAAACATTTCATGACAAAAGCCTGTGTGGAGGTTTGAATGTTGGCATATGGCTCATTTCTCAACCCTGCTTGAAATCACAGGGATTTTACCACAGTCAGTGACTATCAAGGCCATCTTTGAGCCAGCCCAACATATTGTGACACTCTCTCACCAAGAACTTAAAAAAAACAACAGAAAAATAAGAGGAAAACAAGTTTCCACCGTGGTGCTGCTTTGCGGGCCTGTGAAGCTAAGTGGAACTAAAACTCTGAATTATTCATGATCAACTATTCCGATAAAGTCTTCAGCAACAAACTAGGCTAATGGGGCCAAGAACGGTGTTTGGACCACCACATTAACTTTAGCTGCAGAGTTTTCAGAGCTCCTTTCAACTCATAATACAATTTGAAGAAAAAGGAAGTATAAAAAGCAAAAGTTAAGTGTCTTAATTAAGCAAGCTTTAATTGAGTGTTGGTGATTTAACTCTCAACAGCTCAGGTTAATACAAAAGGTGATACATTTAGACCCACACCTAGCAGAATAATGAGTATTGAACTAACATTTATTTTAATTCAATTATAATTGAGTATTATTTTAATGTTTCTTTCACACTCTGGGATTTAATAAAAATGCATATTTTACGTGATTGTCTTTGAAAATAGCTAATACTTACTCGGGGGAAGACTCTGGTGTTAGGCTGGACATTTCCTCTTGTGTGGGAACTGGAAAGAGACAAAGCGAACAAGCCTCAGTGGAATTTGCATCATACTCTATATCCTGAGAGATTAGGCTTTCACAACCTGAGGAGGGGAATGCTGATTAACCACAGCTAATTACTCCAAACCTGCAGAGATTAAGAGTAATTCAACCCCCCCTCTATCAGCTTATCTAATCCTCTCCCCGCTAAAAGAGGGGAAAAAGGAACCGCTGGAGGTGAGGGGAGATGCTTGTGCAGTTTTCATTATCATTACTAGATATATCAGGAGATATAGCTGATAATGGAGTAGCATTGAGTTTATTACCCAGCGATCTGTAAAATCAGTCCTTAGAGAATATCACTAGCTAAGAGGGGAACGTCAACCCGAAAACCACAATAAAAAAGGATTAGCAAGCATTGTTCCTTCACCTAAATGCTTTTTACTATATATATGCACATAGACTATGGTGCTTTATTTTACACCTGATCCTACATATCATTGCTTTAGTGCCATACATAATTAGGGTTAAATTAGGGATGCATACCATATTGGTACCATTAGACATCTTGTAATTCATTATTTAATTGTGTACGCCATTTTACACTTAACTTTAAAGCAAGTCATACAGGTTTGGAGCGACATTGAGAGTAAATGATGACAAAATTTTCATTTCTGAGTAAAGGATCCCTTTAATATTTAAAATCACTAATAATTTGTTAAATATGGTCTTTTGCAAATCTCAAAATGAATGTCCATTTTTCTTACTGTACATTATAATGTTGTAATAAATTCACTTGTATAATTTAAAATAATTCATTTGAGTTTTTAGTGTTTTAAAGGGGTCATATGATGCGATTTCAAGTTTTCTTTTCTCTTTGGAGGGTTACAAGCTGTTCGTGAACAGATAAGATCCCTAAAAGACTAAAGTCTCAAACCCAAATATTTTTTTTTTTTTAAGTTAAGACTCATCCTCACCCTCCTAAAATGCCTCGTTTAAACATGCCCCCACATGTCTATGTCACGATGTGGGAAGATTTGCATAACGCCGCCCAAATGTTCACGCAAAGAAAGAAGGCGTAACGTTATTGTTGCTGCCGCCACCATGTCGTGAAGACGCTGTGTGTTTCATTGCGAAAGCAAAAATACTTTGTTTGGCCTTCCAAAAGAGGACACGACTAGAAATCAGTGGTTAAGTTGTATTTACAACACTGTTCCAGAACAGTTCAACCCAAATATTCAGATGTGTGCAGCACATTTTATGGAGGACTGTTTCCTGATCCTGGGAGAGTAGACTACAATGACGGCTGCTCTGACTCACAGACTGCATAAACAAATTTCATTACACCAAATACACAAAATAATGTTCTTTTTAGCAACATCATATGACCCCTTTAATTTAAAAATTTTTGACACAAAAGAAATTGTGTAGAATTTTGTGTAGAATTTTATTAATCTGTCATGTATATATTAACCCAGATTTTTTGTTTTAATTAAAGTTATTCCCTGGTTTATTTAATCAGAGACATTACACATTAATAAGCATCATGTCAATGTAAATGTGCCCGATTTAGTCAAAATGGCACATTTTCATCAGCAATCCCTGAACAAGTTGATGTTAATGTTTAAAGAAAACTGTTTTGAGATGTATCTAGCACTGCTGGTACCTTGTAGTTTCCTGCGGTGGAAGCGTGGTGAGCCAAGGAAGTTGTTTTTAATGGAGTTGAGGCGTGTTCTCCACGGCATGCCTCCAATAGAGGGGCTGGGGGGCGGCGTAGGGCTAGGGGTTCCTGCTGGGCTCTCCTTAGGCGTGTGCACCGGCGTTCCTTTTGGAGTTGGCAATGGGCTGCCCCTGGGGGAAGGGTGAGGCGTAACCTGTATGGTGGGGATAGATTTGCCGTTGTGGTCAGTCCCGGCCAGCGGGTGAAGGTGGTGAAGCCGGATGGGTGAAAGGGGGGAAAGGGGAACAGAGAGTTTGGGTGGCACTGTGAGCGGTGGCCGGCGCACTTTTGGGCTGCCGGGCATCGGCGGGAACAGGGGTTGGCAGGGCGTAGAAGGTTCTGACCTGGCCGCAGATGGCACGGCCGTCGTGTTAGGGAGTGGGTTGGACCTGGTGGCCTGCAGGGGCTTGTCTGCAACTTTGGGCTTGGCTGGAAGGGTCTGGGTTTTGTTGTTGGACTGAAGGGCAACTGTCTTTGGTTGAAAAGTTTTGGGGGAGTGGGGGCCTGTGCCGTTCACCCGGGACACAGGCGCGTGGGTGGGGCTGTGGTTGGGTGACTGTGTGAGTTCTGCGGATTGTGGCGGAACGGCAAACCGCCTCATGGGCTGTAAGAGTGCATGCACAGAGCCAGCAGCATAAAAAGAGCCAACGCAGCCCATACAAACAACACACGGCCCCGTAGTCAACAGGCATTACGGCGCAGAAGCACACACACACCGACACCAAACATGAAAAGATGGTGAACAAGCCACCGGTGATGAGAAGTGAGGGAGGAAATGCAGAAAGAAAGAAAGAAAAAACATGCCATTAGCACAACCAGCAAAGAGGCAACAAGACAGTGGAAATAAAATGTTCCCAAATCAGTGTTCCCAAAACAAATCAAAATCAGCAACAGAAATTGGCAACAAAAAAGCTCTGGGTTGTTGTTGGGATGAACTTAAAAGAGGTGTTGACAGCACTGACTAAGCAAGCAGGAAATGTGTACAAGATACATGAGCTTTGCTTTAAAGGACGCTATTGTCAGAATGCCTCATATCAATTGAAATAATCATCATAAATTAGGTAGAAATGACATGTGATACAAGTCACAGAAATATATACTGCCTCAATTAACGAGTTTTTCAAGACAATAGCGCCACACTATCAAAATGGCTAGTGAAAATAAGTGCAGTTGGCCATTAAACAGAGCATAGAGTACAATGCTGCTGTTGGAGGTATGATATGAGGATGCTGTTTGACAGATGACGCTAATAATAATAATAATTGGGTCAGAAACGGGACTGATTCAATACAGGCCACTAAAAGTGAAGAGTGTGATTACAATCAGTGAAGTGAAAGCTCATCAAGCATATTGTAAAACATCAAAGAAATACAATGGAGTGTTAACTGTACCAGCCGCAACCCTAGCACGGCATAAAGAAGAACACAAATGCAATAAAATGGATTTTTAAAGCTCTTTCATACTGCAGGGAAGATTCTTCCATGACAAACCTTTAAGTCTGTGTCTGAGCAGTAAAACTAATCTCAGATGAGCTGTATCAAGGAGTTCTTCACAGACTAATTCAAATTACTTTCACCAAGCCTGTTCTCTATGTGAGCCATTTTCATCAGTGAAAGGGCGACACTGCAGACATTCTCCAAATTTAGAACATTTCAAACAGCAGAATATTTGATCAGGTCAGATTCAGAATTGACTTTGGGATGAATCCTGTAGGGAATTCCTTGATGTAACTCAAGAACTGCCTATTGGGAAGTCTTAGTAGTGGATTTGCAATCGGTTAGCCTCTTTAAACAAATCAACTGTAAAAGCTGGCTACATCCAGAGGCTTCAGCATTAGTAAGGAACAGGGATTTTCAAGGGATTTTAACAAGCCATTAGTGACTCGGGCTTCAAATATTTCAAGGCAACAAGCCTGTGAATAGGGCATAGATTAGCAACAATTATGCCAAACGTGGTAGACTGATTGGGCTAGAAGCAGTGAATCGGTAGCGGCAGAAAGCAATGTTGCTGCATTATTTCAGCTTATAGGCGATACAAAATTGGCTGTTTTGTTTAACAAAGCTACCGATATAAATAATTATCATTAAAGCTCCATCATCACTAACATTTCTGAAAATTAATCTTACATATTGCATTATGTCAGTGGTCTTCAAGGACTCCCTTGGTGGACAGAAAGACAGAGCAGGGTCCTCGTTACATATTTGATCAAATTTAGTGTTGCATTTTAAACCATGTCTAATAATAACAATGCATATGGTACCATATTAATCTATTCAAATACTTTTATAAACATGCATTACAATTAAAAAATTGGGGCTTCTTAATGTCTTGAATGTAGTCTCTCATGCTCACCAAGGCTGCTTTCATTTGATCAAAAATACAGTAAATATTATGATAACATTGTGAAATATTATTGCAAATTAAAATAACTGTTTTACATATGAATATAACTTAAAATGTAATATACTCCTGTGATAACAAAGCTGGATTTTCGGCATTACTCCAGTCTTCAGTGTCACATGATCCTTCAGAAATCATTCTAACATGCTGATTTGGTGTTCAAGACACATTTCTTATTATTATCCATATTGAAAACAAATTGTGCTGCTTAGTATTTTTTGTGAAAGCCACAATTAATTTTGGTGAATAGAACATTTAAAAGAACTGCACTGTTTTGAAATAAAAAGCTTTTGTAACAATGTAAGCCTTTACTGTCACTTTTGATCAATTCAATGCATTCTTGTTGAAAAAAAAAAAAGTACTGACGCCAAACAGTTGAACGATTCTGAACTGTTGAAAATACATACTTTTACAACGCCCAGCAGTACTACCTGTTGAAGACCACTGCATTATGCAATCTATGCATATATTCATGCTGAATGTCTATAGATCTAACAGATGTGGCTTCTGCCATGAGTTTCTCACCAATGCATATTCTGCAGATAGATGCCAAACCAGCTGGCTAAGGGTTTCAACACAACCAGACTCTCTGTGTAAAACAAAAGATTTAGTATGGATGGAGGGCTTACCCGAGGACTGCTGAGGGGACTAGTAGACAGACCAGAAGAGGCTCCGCTGATGGACCGGGACCTAAAGTTACACAACATACATAGTAAAGAGGTTTCTGCTGTCATAACTCTAAAGGAGTTTCAGAATGTTGTGTGAGTGAAACATGATTAAATAATTGAGTTTATACTTGGACAGAGACAGCAATTTCTCTATGTTTCACTATAAATCTCGCATTTCTGTTAATTATATGTCAACTTTCTATGTAGGCCTATAGGTCTTTTTGTTGATAATGCTATTTTTACATTTTGAGTTGCTATTAAATTTGAGCAATTTATAATTTCTCATCCTAAGAATGTAAAAGGCCATCACAACCTTTTACGAGGTTCTGTATGAGACTCTTGAGTTCTTCCGAACCTCATTGTGTATTAGATGGTGAGCTTCAGTAGTTCTCCAGTAAATGATTGGGATTTAATTGACTGTGGACACAATGGGTTTTGTCATCAAGGCAAACTGAAACAGTAAATCATCCCTAACGGTGTCAACATTCAGACTCACAAGATTTTATCCATAAACTGATCAATTACATTTGCAAATGCTACATAGATGAGAATTATGCGGTGGTCTCAAACTGTCTCTGATCATTCAAGCGTTAAAATCACAACGCCACATACACCATGGCCTGATTCAGCACAATGCTGATGTTCATTATATGCCTCTTGCATTCAGCTAATTAGCTTAGCCAAAACACAGCGTCAGGAAGAGAGCTCTTTATATGTGTAATAAATGACTATGGAATAAAGTAATTCAAGGGATGAAAGGACAGGCACTAGGGGACAGTAACTATACGAGGTAACATTTCTACTGTTTAAGCATCGTACAGTATTTGTGAAGATTTTATATGTAGTGCATCATTAATATGAAGCTATAACTATATTAAGATAACTACTGCTTGTAAAAATGCTGTTTAAAATTGTATAAAAGATGCAGGGGAGCTTTTCGGTTTAATTAAGTCATTACATTTTGAATTGGAAACATGCATAAACATGTATTTGATCTATCTAGTCTGTCAGTAAAATATTAATTTACCAATACCTAATTCAGTGCACCTCTATTCGATGCATTGATTACATCAAAATAAATAAAATAAAGAATATATAAAGAAATATTCAAGGCCCGTTTTATTATCTGGCAGACCAAACAGTCTCAGTGAATGCAGACGTAGGACAGGACTGTGAAACTCAAAGTCGAAGAAAAATGCCTGAACAGATGAACACAAACAGTCAGATAACCTCTGTCTTTCACCTACTGTAAGTGCATGTGAAATAATCTAAAAAAACACAACAAACATCCAGGGTGAAGGCAAGAAAAGTGTGAAGGCAAAACAAGAACGAGGGGAAGAAATTAACAATTTGGGATCTACCAAGGGACAAAAATGCCAGACATCAAACGAAACATGAAAGGCAAAATAAGGGAGATAAGATGCTTTTGATGTGTGTGGAGGGAGCCAGAGGGCCGCTGCTTTACCAAAACTGAGAGGCCAAACCGGGATGAAAAAACTCTGATTTACACGTGCAACCTCCACTTTTTTTTTTAAGTTCCCTCTCAAGCAAACTAAGCTCTTAAGATCTTAAATGTCAGTAGTTGAAATAACAGGCCAGTGCTCTCTGTGGCATGTTTTGAGTGTTAAAAACCCCACTGCATCTTCAGAACGGAAAAAAAATTATGCGCATGGCAGTGGTTTATACCTCTCCTCCTTGCATTGCAGTATGGGGTTGGTATCTGAGATATCCAAGCTTTTACTGAAAACAGATTTACTACAGTAAGAGAGAGTAAAGTTAGAGTAAATTTACAAAAGTAGTCATGGAGTTGAGCCAAAGCATCTACACAGGGAAAGGACACGGGGCTGATGAAATGGATCACAATGGACATGGAAAAAAAAAGTACAGAAGAATTTGTAATAAAATGTGTCAAAGATACAGAAAAATGAAAGGCACATTAACAATCCCATTGTTCCCCTTAAAACCAATTTGAGAAGTCAAAATTCCCCATATGGCACATTCAGCATGCTGCTCGAATAGCTGAGAATCGGATTTTCAGAGAATAGTAAAAACTCCTTTTTCAAAGAATTAAGCTGAACTCATTGATCTTATTTCTTTTACTCTTCATGTGCAATTTAAAATGCATTTCAAAGCTAGTATGCAGCTTCTGTTAACTGTGAACTTCATTTTGCCAATCCAAAGTTTATTTATTTTTTAACATACATTATTGTCTTCAATTTTCCCTTTCAAGGCTCCACAAAATGTGGCATCCTTTCAGCCATTTTTACTGTGGCACTCACTGCTCCGATTGTAGAGTTTCATAAATAATAGAGGAGGAAGAGATGCACTGCTGTACCTCTGTCCGTGTTGTGCCATGTCGATGGCACGTCTCACAGGAACAGGAGATCCACCCTCTGTCATGCTCAGCACCTCCATAGACTTGCGCTCTGGCCTCCTCTTGTTGTGCCTTGTCAAGAGTGGAGAGTCCACTCGCTTCCTGGGAGGATCTGAAGAGACCAGCATATGATAAATTCAATGATCCCTGACACATGAAAACAGCCCATTATGCCTGTGGAGTTCATAATGGGAAAAATCGAACAGTGAATATTTTTCATTATGTCTCTCAGCCCTCCAAAGCATGTAAATCCAAGTAACATATTTTTTTAGAAGAAATTAATACTGTTATTCAACAAGAATGCATTAAAACAATAAAAAAGTGACAGTAAAGACATTTATAATGTTACAAAAGATTTCTGTTTCAAATTAATGCTGTTCTTTTGAACTTTCTATTCATCAAAAAATCCTGGAAAAAAAATTATAAATCACGGTTTCCACAAAAAAATATTAAGCAGGACAAGTATTTTTAACATTAACAATTAGTAATGTTTTTTGAGCACTGAATCAGTACATTAGAATGATTTCTGAGCAATCATGTGATGATGAAGATTAAAGGGTAATGGCTGCTGAAAATGTAGCTTTGTCATTACAGGAAAAGTGTCACTGAAATATATTTAAAGAGAAAACAGGCATGTTAAATTGTAATAATATTTCACAATATTATTATTATTATTATTACTGTATTTTGATCAAATAAATGCAGCATCACAGACTTTTCTCACAAACATTAAAAAATCTTACTGAACCCAAACCTTAGTGTAAATTAAAATTGGCCCCGCTGACTTCAATAAATGTCCCTGGTATTTATTGCGTATGATTCATCAGTAAACACATTGTTCTATAGAAAATTATGTTTTCATGATCTTTCATCAAAATGCTGTTTTCTGGCTTTTAAACAACCTTTTGTGTCTACTGGTGTATCCAAGGCTGTGTGGGTGAGGAAATTATGTCACATCACAAAGCTGCTGTGAATGCCATTTCATGTTGTCATTAAGGAAGAAATATAAATGAACAAATCAAATACATAACAAATAAACTAACTGAACTGTTCGTACCAATCTCATTTCTGGGTGGTAGATTCTGATCCTCGTGGCTAGGATATCTCTCTTTACGGTCCAGCAGGAGGAAGTAGATCATCTTTTCCTGGTTATCACTGGAGGTTGAGAGGGCACGAAGAAACAAAAAGCATGTGTGGTCAAGACAGGTGTCTGATATACAGTACTATCTCCAGAATAATCCTCAGCTCAGGCTAATTAACTTCATTAGTTAAAGAGCAAAGTGTAGCATGCACCTCATTCACTGAGAGCTAAAAGACATCCTGCAGAGATCACAGGATATCTCTCATTTCATTAATGATGCACAAAGACATAAAACATCCGACAAGAGTCTGGGCGAGTTCAAAAAGTCTTCAAATTCTCCCAGCGAGAGACCTTGTGTTGATTTTTTCTGCCCATGACCACACAGCGGGAAGTAAATATGACTGGTCTTTGTTGCAGGCACCATCTGAATTTTTTAAATGCTGGGCAAGAGAAGAGACAGAGGCCGCAATATTTTAGGAGGGAACACCCAGGCCATCTATCAGTGGGGATAACGAAGTTGATCGCACACAGTGAAGCGTGCAGGCGGTAATTGTGCAAGTACAGGAGATGACAGATGAACGGGAGTGAATGGGCTTCTCTAATAGCCCGCAGCCAAGATTCTGTACTGCGTGTTTACTAACTCTAAGAAACAAGGATGTAAAATAATACTACACTCACACATATGGTCTCCAAAAGCAAAAGCACTCAGTCTTGTCTAATCATGTGCAATAAAACTTTGGTATCACGGGAAGCAACCTTCCCGAGGTGAGCGTCTCTTTCTTAGTTACTCACTCGTCTGACAGCAGGTCTTTCATCAGTTTGTTCTTGTCTCGGAAGCAGCCGAGCGAGTACATGCTTTCAAGCACATCTGGGTCGATGTCCTCAGTAGAGGGTAGTGTGCGGATCGCCACTTTCCGTGGCACCGGTTGTTCTGGTTCTGGCTCATTCTTCCCTCCACTGAATAGAAGATCATAACAAGAGCATGTGAAATAATCTAGTGTTCTTGTTTATTTTTCATTAATTGAGCACACATGGTAATCGCCTCCTGCGTGTTCTAGGATCCTTGCTGGTGGTATAAGTCACAAACAGGCCCACATGCAAAGCTCTGGAGATTTACAATGGCCATCATTCTACAAATGAACCACCTCCCTGTGTTTGTTTATTAAACATTTTGGTAAATTTGATTACAGTTTTCTTCTACCAATAAGAGTGTAGTGGTCTCTCAGTTCAAATGAACACATTATTTAATATATTTTCATATTTAAATCCATTCAGAATATTTCAGTATTTCAATATATCTGTAGAGGTACTATAAAAAAATTTAGTTTGGACACTGTTTGGACCCAGCAGTGTTGTCATCATATATGAAAACTAAAATTAAAACTTACCAGGTAAAACCGAAATTAAAAATACATTTTCCAGATTCTAAAAACGAATTATAATAAAATAAAAAGTTGTATTTTTTGATGCACAGTATATTATAAAACTTCAAACCTTTGCAACCCTCCTGCATTAAACATGAAAGTGCCCCTAGATAACAATAACACAAGACTACACTGATAAATTAAATTACACCAGTTGTTAGACTAGAAAACACTGAAGATGTTAAAATTAAACTATACTCAATAGAAATGCCAAATTA